CTCTGCTTGGCCGCACGCCTCTTACTTGGATTCCAGTCCAGACAAACAGGTTTGCTCTCTCACAGTCCGCGCGTTTCGCCAAGCACAACCCGCGCGAGAGTATTTGCGTATCCCGGCAATCCCTGCTCGAGGTTCGGGCTCGGTTCTCGCTCTCGGCTCCGGTTGGTCTCCCGGCGTTGTGTACTACGCGACAACTGCTAAGTGCTGCAGCAATCCTGGCATCGACGTCTCTTACATGGAATTACTGTTAAGCGTGCGCCGCTTCGCGCGTTTCCGCCCTAAACTGATTAGTTCCCACATTTCAGCGTAGTATCTCTGCCGTACTGTACGATGCTGTGAGGGGCAGGGTCGAGAATTTCACGAGGGCGCCTGAGAAGCTCGTCACTGGTCAGGAACGCCAGAAGACGAGGGGTGTCAACGATTTGCCGTTGAACATCAAGCTCGAGGAATTTTGGAATTTAAGTGAATTTAACGTTATAGGAATCATAGTAGAGAAAAAGAAAGAAAATTTATTATGTTATGATATATATTCCTCCCTCTATATTTGATTCCGTCCGAATGTAGAATATTTTTATAACATTCCATAGTGTTATCAATACTATATCAAATATTTTTGACAAATTAATACATTGTATGAATATACGTAAAAAAGGTACATTTTTTTATTTCAGTATTGTACAAATTATACAGATCCATTTTTTCGAATAGATTAGCTAAATCAAATTAAATATGTGTAATAATATATTCATTTAATAAATTGTAATGAAATTAATTAAATCAATACTTTTGTAAAATTAACATTGTATTCCAGAAAAAAATTAAAATTTTAGAAGCAAAATAAAATATTAAATTAAAGCGAATTTATTCAATGAATATATTAAATTCAACCCAATGAATAATCAAGCTCGAATGGTTTTAAAGAGATAAAAATAAAAAATGAAAGTGTTAAAGATAAGTATACACTGAAAAAAAAAGATTAATTGCTGCAACAATTTAGACAGTAAAATATAGCATAGCATTTTTAATCGGCTGCAGCAATCAGTTTTTGGTTGTAGCAGCAAATTTTTAGTTAGCCTATCGAAATCATATACTGACATTGCGGATAGACTAACGCAACTAAAAATTTGCTGCTACAACCAAAAACTGATTGTTGCAGCCGATTAAAAATGCTATGTTATATTTTACTATCTAAATTGTTACAGCAACCAATCTTTTCTTTCAGTGTATTATCATTATATGTAGGAAAAGAAAAATGAGAAAAGGGGGAAGAAGAAGACAGGAAGACAAGCAAGAAGAAAAGAAGGGAGAACTCCATCTCAATTATGTATTCATAGCTAGAAAAGATATAACGCGTGAGGGTGGTGGTAGAAGTCAATAGAAATGAAATATCAACGCTCTAGATCCCCCATCGGTCCTACCATCCTCTTCCAACCACCTCTCCAATACGAGATCTAAAGTGTTTTTCGATATCTCGAAAAATTCTGCCGCGCCACGGCGCGCGTTTCCCGTCTTGGTTTTATTTCTTCTCTCCCGGGTACAAGGCCGATTGCATGTGCGCTAGTAATATACGTAACTACCTTCTCGAACGTGTATCTCACCGGCGAAAATCGGTGGTGGACCCGAACGCCGTGCCTCGAAGGAAAATACAATCGTAACTTCGAATATTTCTTATACGATACGATATATGAATGATATCAGATAGCAGTAAATATTCATTCAAAATACCTTATCGTACGCAGCAGATGCGGAAATTCATATTGGAATACATGACCCATATTTATAACCGTCACACGAATTATACGCATTTTGTATCAGATGCAATATTTAGTATTTTGAATGATATCACGGTACATCAATACGATAATTAATAAGCACATTCTCGTAAATCCGTATTTTTAATTTGTCGTTGTGAAGTATTGTATATAAATTCAGCATTTTCGAATCATAAAATTTCGTACTTTTTCAATATACTTTTTCACATTTAGTCTTCGTAAAAGTTGAATACAATCTCAGTTGACCTTTGATTGAAGTCTGACCACTGAACTATTTCAAAGTAGAAATTTATAATAAAGTTTCTACTTTGAAATAGATTAATGATCACACTTTGATCAAAAGTCAGTTAAGACTGTATTGAACTAAATATGAAACAAACTGAATACGATTATTATGAATTGTGTATAATACATCTCTGTGAAATGTTATATACATTTCATATTGCACTGTTATCGCTCGATGCCTTCCAGGCCTTTTACTCCTCTCAGATTCGTTCATCACATCCACAATACTCTCAAAAACAGAGTTAATTATGATCACGTGTGGTAATCACCAGAATAATCGCATAGCACTTTGTAATATTCCCGACGTTAATTACACGCAACGTATTTTACTATTACGGATTACAAAGTTAATAATATATATATATATATAAAACTCTATAATCCGAAAATGCTGAATTTTTATCCAGTTGACAAACATTAAAATACGCTTATAACTATATGTATTGCAATAATTAAATATATCGCGATATCATTCAATTAAAATCATTTATGACAGTAAAGTTAAAAAATAACATTTAAAGTTTAAAATTACATTTTAATACGATATGATGCCGTTAATTAAATCAAATTGACGATCATCCAAAATTGTAAAATTGAAATCTAATATTGCAGGTGTAATATGCAAAAAAATCTAAAATAACCAATATATCACGATTTTCCATTACGTTCATTATTTAATCCAGCGATTCACGTATTACTCCGTACCCTCAATTTGAAAGTATTGAATGAATTACGTTTAAGTCAATAAAAAATTCACAACATGGGACATTAGAATCTAATAAAGTTTTCGGTTGCAGAGAATTTGGATTAATCTAGGAAAAGATCATGAATTAGTTTAATCAGAAATCAAAGTAGAGCATGTGATGTCATCAATTGATCCTGGATCGATTCAAATACAGTACGTTAAAGAAATTATTGTCTGTACAAATAGCATAATAAAATAATTTATAATCGAAATATCTGCTCTTATAAATAATAAATGCATTTACAATTATCAATTGCCAGAGTTAATTAATTACGTCGATTGTAACTATGAAATGTTGTTGACAGTAACTAATTATTCGTAGAAAATAATCGCGTGACATTTCAAGTTAATGTTCTGTTTTTCCTACTTATTATTTCTCATAATTTTTTAATCGTTTCTAATTAATTATTAATATAGAATGGTACACGAATTATACACGACACCATTTTTCTCTTAAACTCTTCTCAGTCTCAAAAAATGTTGCAAGATTCAAACACTGTTAACAAATAATTTTCTTTTAAAAAATTATTGAATTATGAAAACTAAAGTTGTGTATCTTAAAATAAATTCTTCGTCTGAATTTCTCAATCGAATTATGATTGCAAATATAATAATAATTTTAAGACAAATGTTTTATTTCCTCTGAATCTTCAGAGGAAAGCGATAATAAAATACGAACCTTACAGAGAAAAAAAATTATATGATATTATGAAAACTAAGAACTGAAAACTAATCTTTGTTATATGTAATTATTCTTATTTCCTACATTGCGTTCAAAAGTAATAACAGAATATTTCTATTTATGCAAATATTACATTTTCAGGAAAATAATCTCTTAAGTTTTTATTACTATAAATAAATTCATGAATAATAATATTATCATTCTTGGTGTTAAGAAGTTTAAAGAGCTATAGGCAACCGCAAGTTAAGCCATCGATGAACTTCTGGTTTGAATATGGGATTATAGGTACGTGTTTGATATTATCCACATATTGTATAACAAATGAGACGCGAGACAACAATGTTATCCGATGTGTAGAATACGACACCAATTGCGTGAAAAAATGATAATCGGCTACCGATGGCCATTCAAAGGCGCGCAAGATTCTATCTCGTATATTCCTATTGTACATAACGACATAGCAGTTGCTGCACATCGCAATACTGAGGATGGCAGGCAAAGTCCGTTTGCAATTGCTCCATTGTTAGACTATTTAGATATGTTTCATTGGTGAGAGACGTGCACGAACGAACGATACCTTAGTCCTTTGGAAATCGCGTTCGTATCCTCGTATGCATGCACTCGCCATGAGAATCGTGCAAAGCATGCAATCAATGCATTAAATAATGCTCCTGCATTCAAATTCAGACCTGTGGCCTGGTTCCTTTCGTAAGTCTTTAGTGTAGTTTTCTCAATCCATTACGAAATTGCTACGTTCTCGTAAAATGATTTCTACGCGGCGAGTATATCGAATAAATCAAGAGAAAGAACATAATTGAGGATTCCGTGTTCAAAATGGTCCTCTATTAGTCGTGATTTATGTTGAATTGTCATGGAAAGTCGAAACTATGAAAGTAATATAATGTACGAGATAATTGAGGTTTTCTAATACTGACATAATATTAATGCTATTGTGATTAAAGCAAGCATAAAGATAATGCAACATTTTTGCGTAAAGTATTTCTTAATAACACGAGACATATAAAAATAAGCTGCTTTATTGCTATTATCATTAAGGGCAAAAAACCGATATATTTTGCTCCTAATGATAATAGCAGTAGAGTAATGATATTTTAAAACAGATATGCTAACTACACACACATCTCTAATTGCAAACGTTTTACTATTCAGCATCTTGCTTTATTATTCAGTAATTAAAATGCATAGGCAAATTACGGTTAGTAGGGTAATTCACGATCGATGAAGTTATCTCTTTCAAACGACCTATTCGTGTTAATGGCGATGTAATAACGATATATATATATATATATAT